CACACCAAAAAGCGAAAATCGATCGATTTTTGCCATTTCTTTCAAGGTCATGGAATGGGCGGACGGTAGTTGGCTGTGTTTTATAAATCATGAGGATTTTAGCAAGTATCGTCACGGAATTTCTGGTACCCCAGAGAGAAGGGTCTAGGAGCATACCGCACCGGAAGCAGTTGACTGTCGAGCCCAACACGGCAGTGACATTTGTAGCGTAGGTTTCCGGGGCTGCTTATATAGAAATTCGTCAAAGCACGCTGATCTTGACGTACCCTCCACCCTGGCGGCACCAAGGCGTCGTTCTGCTAACGAATTGTAGCTATGGGCCGGGCGAGCAGCCAACTTGCATCAACATGATGTACGAAGGATCAATTCCGGGCGCGTCGTTCTCGAAATCTTACATCAGCAAGTGAGTTCTGTCAAGCACAGGTGTCTAATGTCTAAGCCAAAACCTAAGCCTAAGCCTAAGCCTTCATTTGATACATTGCGGGATGTCAAAAGATGATCAGGGTGTCCCAAAAAAATCGACCCCTCTACTGGGCGGCAGAAGTGTTCAATTTTGACGATTTAGGTATCTTACGAAAGCTTTCGGAAAGCTAAAAAAGCGATTTACTTTACGCTTTGTTGAGAAATCTTTTAATACCGAGTGCGGACTAAAAATCTTGTTTTGTCGCTTTTTCGAGTGCTTTCGAATGGTGTAAAAATCATCCTGATCTGAGCTTCCTCCGGACCGCTAGAGGGGGTGGAGTTTTTCGTCATCTCCGTCGAGTTTCACAGGCGTTTTTTTAGCAATGTCGGTCGAGTCGCCGCCTACGCCAATGCCCTGACGATGGTCCATCTTTCCCCAATAAATCAATCGGTGCTGATCATCTATGATTTCATCGACAGTTCGTAATTGTAAAATCGGCCTGTTTCAATGCCAGATTTTAGACTCCGATCTGCATGCCGTCACCCTCGACCATCAGCTCGACATCGTTGTGCCCCCGAACTATCTCTGGGAGTTTGCCGAATATCCGCAGGCGCCGAACGATACATTTTGGTTTCAGTTGGCAGGTACCGATTTTGGAAATGAAATTTTGGAGGCTTGAACTCTTACATGCAGTGATGTTGAGTCATCGTCAAAACCTTACGAGATCTTGCTCATTCGATAGAGAATTTGATTCAGAGCAAGACTCCGTTGTCCTTTTTTTCGGAATGGATATCCCTGATTTTATAAAATTAAAACTAGTGCCGTCTCTTACCATGAGTGCTTTCGAGCAAAAAGAAAGGCTTTTGGGTGCAGTTTTAAAATTTTATAAAATCAGGGATAGCCATTCCGCAAAAAACAACAACGAGGTCTTGTTCAAAATCAAATTCTCTATCGAATGAGTTAGGTCCCGTAAGATTTTGCCGACGACTCAAAAAAAAAGCGTTCCTTGTTAGTGGGCGGTGAGGACCAGAACGCCCAGCGATTTCGAGCCGACTTTTATTTGAGCCGGCTGGAGGGCGGGATCTTTGAATGGCGAAACGGGCCAGTTCTTGGGAAGTGAGAGATGGGACCGGTTCGTACATTTTGCCGAATTTATAGCCTCACCGAAGCTGGTCAAGAAAATGGCGTCCAGGGGATGGTCACGTTTGGGATGGAGGTTAGTCGAAAGGAGCGCCCCGCGTTTTTTAGTTTTTGAATTTGCGGGAAGATTATAAATTCCAAAATCTGCGGGTCTTTTTGAAATGCTTACGTTAGTTTTACATACGTAGAAAGCGGCTACGTGCTTCTTTAAGTTCACGTTCTATCCCGACGTCGAGCAGGCCGGAAAAAGAGGATTTCTGATGCTCTTCACCGGCGTCAACGAAATCGTACCGCAATATCAGGCCGCCGTAGAACTAGCCGACGACAACCCAATTTACATGATTAACGTAAAAGACGCTAATAGTGGGGCTTTGTAAGCTACCTCCTACGAGTTACACAAACTTTCAGTACCTTTGAATTGTCGAAGGATCAGACGCTTGACAATGAGCTTTTTATAACTGGTTGTGTCGTTGAAACGTCGAAGTCTTCAGTTGGGACCCCTCAAATTGTTAATTTTTTAGATGACGGCGATGCTTTTAGGTACGGCCTCCATCCAATCCGTTGAAAATGTCTAGGCAAATAAAAAAAAACTACATTTAAGCCAAAACCTAACCTACGCCACCCTCCACTGCCAACGCGCTGCCAGAAAATTTGGCCAAAATGATACGATCGAATTAACAATCTATAACGATACAGTCAAAGTGCTCGATTCCATCACTTTCCAGCTAGCGTCCTCTTTGCGTGGTTTTACTTTGTTTTCTGATGTCGATGCCCTCTATTTGCAGCTGACCTCAACTTTTATACGGTCCCAATTTTCGGGGATATCGACCGGCAATGGAGGCTGGTGATCCCAAAGGATGACACTAAGGACTCGATCCTCGCGCTGGGATTTCCACATTTCGATCGGAAATCGTTTTGGATGATTGAGGACATTGCATGGGCAAGTGCTTACTGTAAAGTGGTTTTACTCAACTTGGAGTTTCGCTTCGGGACCAAGTGCATCTTGTGCACAACTTTTCGCTGATTCCGAACCCGTTGTCCAAGTTTGCTACGGGCTTTTATTTCGAAAGTTATACGGCAATTATGATAGGGGTTTGCGCCAAAACCAATGTTGTGCCGTTTTCGTTTTCGATTTTCTTAATAAAATGAAGCATTAAAATTGGTTAGATATTGGTTAGACAAGCATCTTAAAGGTCAAGCTAAGTTGTATTGATAAAAAAAATAGATTTGTTATGCAAAAAGCAAAATCAAAGCACAAAACAGCACACAGCGGGGGGATTCGAACCGCTGCCCTGCGCTTGGCAAGCGAATTCTTTGCCAATGCACCATGATGGCAACTTGGCAGCGCGCTGTCAGAGCGTACTTCAGCTCCACTGGCGGTCTAAGGACCACGCAGGGAATTGTGAGCCAGAATCCAAATTATCGCCTTTTTCAGGCTCACCAAAAATGGCGTTCTTAAATAAAAGTCCGTAGCACCTTTGGAAAACGGTTTCGGAATCAGCAAATCCAGCACAAGATGCACTTGGTCATGAATCCAAACTCCAAGTTGTGTAAAAACGCCTTACAGTTGGTTTTGACGTGATAAACGTGTTGCCGGAGAAGTTTGGAAATGTATAAACTGACTGAACCATCGTTTAGGCGCACTCCGAGAGTACCTGCGCTTACATCCTTTATCCCTATCTCATTACGGAGAGGAAGAATTTGACGGAGATGGCGATTTTTAGGTCTGAACAGAGTTGTTATAACTCAAACAACAAACAACAAATTATTCAAACAACTCAAACAAGTTTGCTTTGTTTGAGCTCGAAAAGTTTCAAACAAAACAACCTTATTTGATTTGAGTTCCAGGGGGCTCAAATCAAACAAGATTGTTTGACTCGTTTTAACTTGTTTGAGCACCCTAAACGGTGAGATTTTTGGGGATTTTTGATGGATCGGAAGCGAATTCAAACATTCAAAAACAAATTTTACCGGAAAAATTTATGCAAATTACGAAAATGCTGAAAAATGACGTTTCAAATCCAAAATTAGCATAGAGTTCAAACAAGGCCAAACAAAACTCAAACTGCTCAAATAGTTCAAACAATCTTGTTTTTTTTGAGCGATCAACGGTCATCTCAAACAAAACATGTTTTATTTGAATCTCCAAAAATCCTATCAAACAACGTTGTTCAAACAAGATTGTTTGAGGCCTTGTTTTGTTTGAGTTATAACAACTCTAGTCTGAACCTCGTACGACAATCATTTGCCCAGTCAACCGCCCGAGAATTGCAAAGCGCAACAAAATCCTCTTTTAGTGATCAGCGAAGCTTCCCTCAACAACTCGTAGTTGGCGGCTGGCGGTCAATTTTCATCCCGCGTGGCTGCACGCCCACTGTGTCATTGCGGCGCTTGGCTTTCGGTAGTTCAAGGTTCTCGCCACGCTTACATTATTTTTCCAGACTTCTCAGACATAGCTGTGGGCTACCCGTTGCAACAATGTCAAGGGGTGGCCATCTTGACGCCCCCCGACGACAATGACTACTTTTTAAGGCAGGAATACGGCCTCTTCTACACGCTAGTGTATTATTGCGGTGTGCATGTGGATAAAACAAATCACGAAGTTCCAGATTTACACATTAACGTCACGATCCACCTAGCCGTCTGCGAAGACGCCCATTTTCATATCCACACCTTCAACGGCGATCAGCGCATTGGTCGCGAAGAGTTGAGTCGCCTTTTTCAACCGTTATTCAATGTTATCTATTTTAGCATCGATATGCTTTGCGTGCCGACAACGGAATTCCAGCCAAAAACTTGGTTGAGGTCCAATATAACAAAGCTTGAAGTTAGAGTTTGTTGATTTCTGCCATGGTTTATTACTCCCCCGACCGGAAGTTTTTGGCTATAACTTTTTATTTTACATTATTGTAGGCTCAAATTAAAACGCTTAGTATATTTTTCGACGCTCTATCGAATGACGTTGCAAAAATCCCGACAACAAAATATGCGAAAATACCGAAAACTTTGAGATCCTTCGGCTTTGGGGGCGGGGGTAAAGTAAACTCTTACCGATTTCCGCAGTCCCGTGTCTTGAAGGGCGGCCGTTTGTAGAAACGGCCTAGGCAAGACTTTTTTTGGTTACGAATTCACTCCTGGACGTCAATTTGAATGCTTTAGTTTTCCTACACAACCTCCTTCACTGGGAACCGTGCTGGGGCGTTCTACGCAGAAATCCAGTTCGAGCCGATCGTTCCAAAAAATACAGCTACACCCCCCGTAGCGACCTCGACGCCCATCACGACGTCCACAGCGGAAGCGAGGAAAGTAACTTCACTTTGCATCTTGTTTTCGGTGTTTATCTCGTTCAGCATGTGCTGAAAAACTCGAGAACAGTTAAAAGCTTACATCGATTGAAATTTGGCGCAAATTGGAAAAGTTATGGGCTTTATTCACGAGTAACGCTGATAAAATTTTATTCGTTGTCGTCACCGGTGGAGCGGGCCCAGAGACTGCGACGGACTTTCTAAAACATAATGGTAATCGAGGGCGTGAAATCGGGAGGGAGACAGGCAGACAAACACACATACAGGCAAACGGTAAGACTCCAGAGACCCCCCGCCTGCCGGCCCCAACTTTTGTCTTTCGGCTCCCTGTTCACCTACAGGTGTGTAACGTATACGAAAATGTTCATCTTGCTCTGGCGATCATTTTGGCAAACTTTACATACCTGTAGATGAACAGGGAGCCGAGATACAAAACTTGGGGGCCGGCTGGGGGGGATATCTAGAGTTCCGCCCAGACAGACAGACATCTCACTCACATCAATGACAGCCTGCATGACGGCGACGGAGCCGCTCGCGTCCTCTACGCTCCAATAGACGGGCAGCCAGTTATTCTTCAGCACCTTCTGCCGGTCGCGCTGCAAGGCTGAATTCTAAAGGGTGACCAATGCATCCAAAAATCAAGTAAGCCTACCGTTAAGTTAAGCGAGGAGTCGTTAATGCCATTGGTCGTCCCGACGAGGGTGAGCAAGTAAATTCTTCAAAGAAATTATTGAAAAACGTCTCCAAAACATACATTACGGAAAGGACGAGCGCGAGATTTGAATGGTCCATACGAATATGCGGCAGATCAGGTGACGACAATGTCCAGCTTGGCGTATTCGAGGCGCTTGTTAAAATATTTTTGAGCAGCTTCCTGAAATGTAAATGTTGGTGAGGAAATCTGGTAGTCACAGTTTTACGCTACGCCGTGCACCTATCCACACTAGAGATGTTATTATTCAACTAAGATATGCAAGCAACTAACGTTCTCGCACTAAGGTTCGCCGAATGCCAAATTTCCTTATTCAATTCCGATTAGCTTAACCAAATCAGCAAAATCTTATTCAGATAGGCTCGTTTTAGTCGCATAACATGCTAATGAGGATTTTTACGAGGAATTGCTATGAAAAAATGGAAAAACCCGGAAATTCTGTTGATGGAAATCTAGCTTTGCCATATTTTAGCAAAGCAAAGTCAGGACTGCGCTTATTCGGCTAAGATTCGACTAATTCAACGAAGCTTAGTCGGATTACGGATTCCTTATTCAGATTCGGATGTCCTTAATTGATTAAAGGATGCTTATTTGAATATGAATAAGCCGAATCGAATTAGTTGAATTTCCGGTTTAGTCGTATCTGAATAAAAACATCTCTAATCCACACCCACTTCCATAAAACGGGCGGCTGCGAGTACGGCTTCGGGCAGGTCGCTCGCCTCGAAGAATTGGCTCAACCACGCGCGAGACTTCAGCCGGGTCTCGAGATTCTGGAGCACGATTTTGAAGCTAAGCTAGGGTAAAACCTGTGGAATTGGAGCGGCTTGAACGAGACACAAAAAGCTGATGGTCAACACCAGAAGCCTAAAAATTCGCTATCCGCTAAACTCAAAATTACGGCGCTCAAAAAGGCTACGGTTTACTTTATCCCCCCCCCCCAGCCGGAAGTTTTTGGCTATAACTTTTTTATTTTACATTATTTTAGGCTCAAATTAAAACGGTAGTATATTTTTCGACGCTCTATCGAATGGCGTTGCAAAAATCCCGACAAAATAAGCGAAAATACCGAAAACTTTGAGACCCTTCGGTTGTGGGTTGGGGTAGCAAACTCTACCCCAAAAAGAACTTGAGTAACGACCCAAAAATACGCACCAGCCAAATCGCTGCATCGAGTAGAAATTGGACAGAAAAAAAACGGAATTTATCACCGGAAATGAGGGAACATTCAAACGACGGATTTTAAAACGGTTTTTACGTTGTTTGTAGGGAAATCTTAGCTGTGTGGCTGTGATCCAACAAATTTTTACAACTTTATTAATACAACATTTTCTTCCGCCTTTCCGCATCTTCCTTCTTCCGTTTCCAAACCAACCACCGATGCTCCAGAGACATATAGGTAGTTTCGATAAACAGGAACACGAATTCACAGCATGTCAAGAACGAAATGCCACACCATAGACCCAATTGACCGCCGAAATCGGCCAGCAAATTCACAAACTAAAAATATATCTGGGTAGCTTACATTAAAAACCTGGTAAGCCTCAGTTTCCTCGAGGAATTCATAGTTCAACTGTTCGTAGAAGACCTCAACCATGGCACCGTTCTCCCTGAAAGTTTTTAGCCATATTAAATAGCTCTACATTTTTGTACATTTTCTAGAAACCTGTGCTAGTGCATTTCTAAAGTTTAGTTACTTACTTGTAATGCTTATTACACTCAAGCGCTGTACCATTACAAGATCCAAGTTGAATTTGGAGAGATTGTGAGGGCCATTTGGCTGGTGAGTACGTCACCTAGAAGCACGTTGTTAAGCCTGCCTCTCCCTCTCTCCTCTCTCTCTCTCTCTCGCTCTGCCTCGCTCTCTCTCTCTCACTCTCTCTCCCTCTCTCTCTCGCTGTAGTTCTCTCTTTCTCGCGCTCTCGATAAAGCTCGTGCTCGCTCTATCTGACAATCGACCTACCGTATACAAACTCTGGGCACATGGCTGTTGACAACGATACTTGAAAGAACCATGCAGATCGCTAAGCGCAGCCCATTTTGTCGTCCAAACATTGTTCCTAAACGAAATAATTTTTCGATATTCGAAAGAGCAATACGTAACTGAAACAGCGGCACTGGATTTAGGGGTTACGTATTGCT